TTATAGTGGGGATGAAAGCAGGAGGTTGCTTCCATAGTAGGAATTTTATAGAACAGCAGTCATCCCCCTACACCACCAGGGCTCTTTCAGGTTTTTTTTTAAACTCAGCAGTTGAATATTACTATAACAATATAACAGTATAACAGTATTGTAACGATTCCTTGTTTTATTTGTGTGTGTGTGTGTGTGTGTGTCTTTAAAAGTTTGGTTGCATGGCGGTGAGAGATAGTCTAGGGTGGTTGAAACAGGCAAGTGGTGTGATTGGTGATTGGCAGAAAGGGGGAGGGGTTTTAGAAAATGTGTGTCAGTCAAGAGTTACAGTTTAGACAGTTGAAGAAGACAGAAAGTTAGTTAAGTTCTGTGTATGAGAGGAGTGAGACACATCCCTGTGTGATATAAGTTAGTTCTGAAGTGTGAGAGAGAGACAGTATGGTGTGTGATACAAGAGTTAAGTTTTGTGTATGAAGAAAAGTTGAAAGTATAAGGAAACAAGAAAGTAAAGTTAAAGAGAAAAATAAAAAGTCTGAGTGACAGACGGGAATGAAATAGGAAACCTATATGACCCTGAGTAATGAGTTACAAAGTTACATGCCAAAATCCCTGACAGTGTGAGAGAAAAGTGTGAGAAAAACCAGTTGGAATTGTTCAGTATTTACCCATTCATAGATACAGAGTACTATCCTGTTATGTACGAATTATATCAATAAATCTTTTATTTAAGTCTGCCAGCTCTGAAAGACATACTTCCTCAGGAAACACATAGACCCTCATGAAAGCCTAAAACCTCGACCTACCTACCCAGTGATAGAAATATTATATTATAAAGGTTTGGAAAGCCTTAAAATTTCCTGGTGGCAGCCGGATATCCCCAATAGAACAAAATTAAAAGAACACTTTAAAGTAAAACCAGACCTCCCCAGTTAAGGGGTCGTCACAAGTATGTTCACCGAATTCCCAGCTTTCATATTTTAAAAATGTAATCCTTTAGTACTTTTGTTGTGGAATTATGAGGTACGTAACTGCCATTAAGTCTCATCTGACTTATGGCAAAGGGGCTTTGAAGGCACGTGAGATGTAGAGGCAATTTGCCATTGCCTTCCTCTGCAGAATCTTCCATCCAAGTACAAACCCTGCTTGCCTTCTGAGATCTGATAAGGTCAGGCTATACCATGCCGCCTTCTCTCCCATAGTGCTATAAAGCCAAAGGCATATCTCCACAATGGCTGCTTCCACACCAAGGATTTCCCACTTTCAGCCACCTGGTTGGTACTTTTACAAAATGTTTTCGCATGACATCATCCTCTGCTTATGTACAAACGGTTAACAGCCCATTCTTACCACACATGAAAAAAACTTTTTTAAACCTTTTTTTAAAAAAACTGTTTCCTGGACAAGTCACTATCAGCACATGGAGTTTCTTATATATGAAGGAGAAGTGCATTTGCAGAACATCAGGGAAGTACCAGTTAGTTACTTTTTTCATTTGTTGATGACTGCAAGGGGCCAGTCCCTGTCAACAATTAGAATAACAGATAAGAATTGTCTTTCTTTTAGACAGAGGGAGGGGATTGCTGGAGTCAGTGTTCCCTCTAAGCTGAGTTAGTGTGAGCTAGCTCACAGTTTTTTAGCCTCCGGCTCACACATTTTTGTCTTGGCTCAGGAAGGATGGCTCCAGAGCAAACTAATTTATGCAGCAGCCAAATTGCTTACTCACAGCTTTAATGCCAGTAGTTCACAAAGTAGAATTGTTGCTCACAAAATTCCACAGCTTAGAGGGAGCATTAGGAGTCTCTGCAATTATGAGGGGTATTTTTTAAAAAAATTGCTAAAGGTATTGTGTTATGCCTATCCAGTGTTATTCATGCTCGTTTTAAAAAAACAGAAGAGAATCGTGCACAGCTCAGCCTGCCTGTAGGGGAAAGGATGAGGGTCATTAGAGGTGTCTGCAAACAGTTTAATTTTTTAAGGTATTCTGTTATTTCTATGCGGTGCTGTTCCTCAAAATAAAAAAAAATGGAGTGGGAGGAGAAACCTGAGGGTCACTTGAAAATACTTGGGGGGGGGGGCTTCAGTGCACATCACGTGTGACAGGGAAACCACTGCTAAAAATGGAGAAACGACAGATTACCCTGGGCTGTCTGGAGTCTCCGCTGCTAGAGCAATTTCACGTAGAAGCACATCAGCAACCAGACTACCACAGAAAATCATCCTAGTGTAGAAGCAGCCCAGGTTTGAGAAAGATCAGGGAAAATCCAGGTAACCATCATAAAGTGTATGAATGTACCATGAGGCTGTGGAGAAGCAGGAAAAAACCCCACTTCCAAGCCGCATGAAACCTGGGGCAAACAACCTATGTGAATATAGTCTCTATCTACAGAATCTGGATTTGTTCAGTGTAGTTTTTTAAAGCATATATGTCCCTGCCTGAAGAATCGAGCCTCCCTTTTGCCATCTTTAATTTGCTGTCTGTCCGTATGCTGAGCAACTAAAAAAGCTTGAAAAGCAACTAAAAAGCCTGGTAAGTTAGATTGTATACTTTTGGGAATGTAATTAAACATATATATTTTTGCCACCACCTTCTTCTCCTTTGCCAACGTCTCTTGTTCTTTCTTTGCTGTGATGCTGAAGAAGTGGCCCTTTGGGAGGAATGAGGAAAGGAAGAAAGGAGGGAGAAAGTCATTATGTGTGAAGGTGGTAGTGGTGGAGAGCTGCTGATGGAAATGGGCATTGGAGAAGTGTAGGAATGGGAATGCTAGAGGTTATCGGGGGTGGAATATAAGGGACTGGAGGGAGGGTCATGGAAGGGGAAGGTTGAAATGCATGCAGTGGGTTGTGTGGTGGGAACTGCACTTGGAAAGCCATGGGGAGGAAAGAAATGTAGCTGTTGGGGTGAGGGAAGGTGCTACGTGTTTGTGTTTAGGGGATGGCATGGAGACTAAGATAAAATAGGAGTCTTGAACCATCTTAAATAAGTTTTGTTGCATCATTTTTTATTTTCTAGGCATTTGTACCTTGCTTTTCTCCCCAAATGGGGACCCAAAGCAAATTTACACGTACCATTCTCCCACTCTATGATTTTGTCCTCACAACAACTCTGCAGGGTATGTTAGGCTGAGAGAGTGACTGGCCCAGGGTCACCCAGCAACTTCCATGGCATAGTAGGGCTTATAAACCTGGGTCTCCCAGTTGTTAGTCTCATGCTTGAACCTCAGCACAATGAGGTGTGGAAGGTGTGTCTTTGTGGAAGGTCAGGTCTCTGAGTGGGACTGAAGTGCAAGGAAAGGAGTGGTCAGTGGGAGCAGACTTGAGATTTGGAGGAGAGTGGATTGGTGTGGATGAATCACACTGGGATGCTGGGAGAAAAGGGCTGATTTAGGAGTTCTGGTCATTGACAGGTGGCTGGTAAATCTCTGGAGGGTTCCTTGGAGAGTGTATACTATATGTGTACATTTCAGGGTAGACCTCCCTAAGTGTGGAAGAAACCCACTTTGCACACAAAAATGTTTCCAGGGTTGCAAAGAAAAATGTTGCTGATCTAGTGTAGTGGAGAAGTGTATTTTCAGAGAGGGAACAGGACCCCTGGGATTACTTGTGCCGGGGAGGAGGGAGGAGATGGACAGGAAAAGTTTCTCTAAGGTGGCGTACTGAAGGTAGATTACAAACAGTGAGTCAGTACAGTCAACAAAAAATTTAAGGCTTTTGCTTTCAAAATTCTGTCTATGTTTGGGAGAACATACATCTGTGAACAGCTCTTTAATGTAATAAATGTCAATAAATCAAAAGTATATTCTCAGCTTATAGGTTCACACCTAAACAGCATAGTCAAGATTGCTACAGCACAGATGTGGACTCCAGATTATGATATAGTAATTCAGAGCAAGAGGTGTCAGTTATCAAAGACTGTTAAATAAAGGAAATACTGTAAGAGTGTTAATGTTTTAAGCATGTTTGTATTTTAAGTAAAGGGTTTATAAAGGGTTTGCCTGTCCTTTATAAACTTTATATATTTGGTACCTGGCGTTACGTTTCACAGCACACATGGCTTAGCAGATACCAGAGGAAGTACTAGTGGGCACCATGGCACCCATGGCCGCAACACTGGGGAACCATGCCATAGGCAAAGGAATGTTAAGGCGTTTTACTAGTAAGAGAAAAATAATTAGGGATTGTCTCACAGGAAATTCTAATTAGCAGGAAAGGAAATCAGATGGCTTAGTCCTTAAAGTTTCAATGTGCATTCTACCTTTAATAGAAGCAGGTTTGAGCTACGTAATCCCTGTCAGCAATGTCACTTATGTTCATAAAGGGTACTACTTTCCCTTTTGTGGTTGGTCTATTGTAATTTTCAGATACTAGGAGCACCCTAGATCCGTGTGTCAGTTGTCTTATTTGCCATGATTGTACAAAGTGAAATAGTCCCTTGTTTCCTAGTGTTTTGTTAAAGTTGCTCTATAACATCGACTTTGAGGCAGGAATCATAACTTAGTGACAGACAACATGTTTTGCAGACTGAAGGTCCCAGATTAAATCTTTGGTGACGCCATTTTAAAACATTTTTGGTAGTATGGCTGAGAAAGACCTCTGCTTGAGCCATTGGAATATTTCTGCCAGTGACAGTATATATGCAGTATACAAAGCCAGCTAGACCAGTGCTCTGAGTCAGTCGGGCAGCTTTATACCTTCATATGCTGTAAAGCTGTCCTTATTTAATAAAGAAGCTTCAGATTACTGTTCTTGCAGATTGTCCCAATGGGAGATCATCATGCCAGCTCTGTTGATCTCAATTTCCATACTGGGCTAAAGGAGATGCTTTCTTAATGAAGTACTTATTTATGCAGATGAGGCAAGAGAATTGTGGCAATAGGATTAATTGCATTTCTAAAGTAGATGAGTTTTGTTTTTAAAAGCGTCTGGCAGCTTCATGCATTTCAATAATCCAGCATCCCATTTTTAAAAAAAGTTTTTTTCAATTACCATAATTGTGTTCTTTCCATGTATAGAATCTGGGATTTCTCCAAGGTCGACCCTCTGCTTGAAACTGTGGAACATCATACTGAATTTACTTGTGGCCTGGATTTGAGCTTGCACCATCCTGGTCAGGTAAGAGAAAATGAGGCTTCTATTTTTTTCTGTGGATTTAAGTATTATTGAATAGGGACAAGTATATAGCAGCTCTTCAGCTGTAAAATTTGTTCACAAGAGGAGAGCACTGTTGGAATCTGTTAATTTAGAAAATGTAAGTACTTGTGAAGGTATACGTTGTTAGGAGATGCTACTGAAACATATAAAAAGTGAATGCAAAGCTGACTGCAGAGAACTTGAAAAATGACTTCTGGTCAGGTTTACAAGATCATAGGGATGAATGCTATCTAGGATATCTATGCAGGGAAGTACGACTTTCCTACCTCTCCCCACCCTAGATGCAACCCAGAATCAACTTGGAAAGCAGCTCCTAATGGGGACAGGTGACCCCCCCCCAAAGAGCTGCATGAGGGGGGAACTGGATAGTTTCCCCTTCATAATTTCTTTTAGTCATTACTGGACAAAAATAAAATATAAACACAGGGTTAAATGCAAATAGATGTGTATTTTTCCAAAGATGAACAGCATCAGGATCTCTGGTTCGTGAGTTTATTTTTATTTATAAAAACCTTTTATACTGTTTTTTCAAGAAATGAGAAACTGAATAAAATAAAATCATAATGAAGGCAATACAGGATTGAAAGAAGAAAAATAAAGTGCAGTCAAACTAGCCATGTAGAGATTACAAATACAGAGTAAAGTGAAATCAACACTATAAAATCCCATCAAGACACAAAAAGCTTACTTAAAAAGAAAGACCTGTTTACAACATCAGTGTTGTCTAGCTAGCTTCTCTTAATGCTTTTATTAGGGTATGTACAATTTTCTTAGCTAAAGTTGCTAACTAACATGACTGTGCTAGGTACCTTGAATTTGTCAAGTACGGAATGTATTTTTTAAAGATTGTTCAAACATTCCTCTATAGTTGGCTTTTGTGTCACTCAGAAAACATCAGTATTGCGTGTATGGATCATAAAGTAAAGGTAAAGGTTCCCTTGCTCGAAAGCCAGTCAAATCCGACTCTAGGGTTGCGGTGCTAATCTCCGTTTCAAAGCCAAAGAGCCAGCGCTGTCTGAAGACATTTCTGTGGTCATGTGGCTGGCATGACTAAACACCAAGGTGCACGGAACGCTGTTACCTTCCCACCAAAGTGGTACCTATTTATCTACTTGCAATTTCTTGCTTTCGAACTGCTAGGTTGGCAGGAGCTGGAACTAGAGATGGGAGCTCACTCCATCATGTGGCACCCGGGTCTCGAACTGCTGAACTACTGACCTTCCACACCCTGCAGTTATTTGATATTGATCTGTGGGATTTCATAAGATTCTGGGGTGTATCAGTGTTTAATTTTCTTTTAAAACATCAGTAAACTCTTCTACAAATACATATTTTTGGCATAGCATTTAAAAACTGCTAAATAACCTATAGCAGATGCGAACAAAAAGTCCAAATATCTTAAAAGTCTTATGATTTCCAAGTTCAGAGATGAAGCTTTTCCAGAAGTTTACTTTCACATTTAATGGTAACAATAAGTCAGTTTGGAAAATGTATAGTCAGGAAGGAGTATATGGGAGGAGTGGGGTGAGGGTCAATGTTCCCTCTAAGCTGTGGAGTCTTGTGAGCAAAAAATCTACTTTGTGAGCTACTGGCCTTAAAGTTGTGAGCGAGCGATCTGGCAACTGCATAAATTAGTTTGCTCTGGAGCCATCCTTCCTGAGCGAAGACAAAAATATGTGAGCTGGAGGGTATAAAACTGTGAGCTAGCTCACACTAACTCAGCTTAGAGGGAACACTGGTGAGGGTGGAAGCAGACTGTACTTTTCTGTCCTGTCCACTAAATGCCCCTGTTCTCTTGCAGCCCCACTAGTTATCCATGCGCAGAGCCTATAAGTATGGCCTGAGCTACACCATGTCAAGGAGCGCATCCCACAGTTGGCCAACATTATGCCCACGTAATGTAGTAATTAGAGTGTTGGACGAGGACCTGGGAAACCTGGGGTCAAATCATCACTCAGTATGAAACTCCAGTCTCTCAACTAAACCTACCTCACAAGGTTACTGTGAAGGTAAAGTGAAGGAGGAGAAAGAACTGTGTCTGCTACCCTGAGCTCTTTGGAGGAAGGGCGGGGTGAAAATGTACTAAATAAATAAATATTAATCACATATAGGCTTCCCAAGTCCCACCCCCAAAGCACGCAACGTTCCCGGCGTCAGCACGTCACCCGGAAGTGACGCAGTCGCGTTGGGCGCGTTGGGGGTGGGGCCGCGGTCATCCGAGGGAAAACTCTATGGTTTTCCCTTGGATGATTGTGGCCCCGCCCCCGGCGTGCCAACGTGGTTGTGTCACTTCCGGAGCAGCGCTGGACTCCCTCGGTATACAGACGGTAAGGACTTGGCAACCCTAATCACATAGGCCAACTTTGTTGTCACAAATTGTTACATAGTGTACCCATAGTGGTATTGAAGCATCTCACATCCATAGAAATGAGTGCTATAAAAGCACATTCTAGAAAAGTATTTAGTTGTAAATAAATATCTACTAGCAAGCAAATAAACATTTCTAGTAAGATCTCCAGACTTCCGGTCTGTGGCTCGGTGATGGCGGATGCTCTCCCCTACCTCTGGGGAGAAGATCCGCGCTCCAGTGGGATTGGAGAGGGGCCATCTCAAGTGGCTCCCCCAGGTGAGCCTTAGTTAAAGGCTCCAAGCCGGGGGCGCTGGGGGGGCGACCTCTTCGATGGCGTAATGCCGGAGAATTGAGGCGCTCCTTTTTGCCCCAATTGGTCCGTCCACTGTGAGGCTCAGTTTTATACTGAGCATAGCCGATGCCGGCTGGGACAAGCAGAGGAGGTCATCGAATTAACGAAGCTACAAGAGGTCTGAGCACAGACCAGCAATGAATTGGAGAAGGAGACAAGCGGAAAAGTTTTAAAAGTGAGTTCTCCCCCCCCCTATGGAATGCGGCGTCGGGAGGGAATCCCGGACGTAAACAAATTGAACTGTGCTATATAAACGGAGGGGGGAGGAGAGAAGAGACTTAGCTGAGTTTGCGAAAGTAAACAGGTACTTTTTGAAGAAGGGTGAAGGAGGTTCCTCTGGTCTTCCTCGCGCGCCGGCCATTTTCAACTTTGTTTACACTAAACAA